AGGCTCCGGAGGAGTTCTCACCTACGTCGTCCACAAGGGACGACTCGGGGACTCAACTCCTACCTCGGGCAGCTCACCTTTCCCCCTATGCCCAGGGGAAAGGTATCAAGCCGTTTGACAGCTGATGCAGGCTGTCAAAACGGCTTTTACGCAGAAACAGGCGGGAGCAGCAAACAGCTGCGTCCAGCGAAGGTGCCTGGCACCGGAAGTCTCCTTGAAATTATAATTCTAAGTACTTTAAATCCCAATAAATGTTATAGCATTTATTCATGAATAAATGTGTCCAGAACTGTACAGATGAATAGCAACCCAAAGTATTTTTTAGAGTAATTACACTAAATCAATGGGATACACTTTCAATTAAACACAAAGATGTAATACATAGGTACATGTTCTTAAAGCAGGACCCCATTATTGAATAAAATACTGTAAGGGATTCACTGACTTAATTAGCAATATCAACACTAATCAGTTTCCACAAATATATATTTGAATCACAGTTCCAGCATTTTCATTACTAGTTCTTCCTTTTTTTACTTAATATTGCATGAACTATGCAATTACAGTTTCTTCCCATTAAGTCTAGGGATATGATCATGTAACATCTATAACTACAGCCTCAGCTTTTAGATGGTCCTTTACAGCTAATGCATTAATTCCAGTTTTCAGAGTTAGCCGAAGAAGCTCTCTACACTACTTTTAAACGCCTTTTGTAGAAACAAAGAGGTGAAAATCTCAATTAAAAGGATGCCCAAGGCAACTACATTATTCCTTATTTACAGCTGGGTTCCAACAATTAAGAGGCCCCTTCAATAGAGAAAAAAAATATTAAGAGAATACAAGAAAACATCAGAAAGATATTTGTTTTCTTCATGTCATTTTTCTAGATTTGATGCCTTGTAATTACCTAAATAACTGTCATTCCAATTTCGTAATAGATATTTTGTTTGCATTTCTTTCACTTCTCCTACAAATGTAGCAGGCAGAATTATTGCACAGAAATTATACAAATTTTAATCTGCTGGCATTGCACCAAGCTGACTGGTCAGCAACTGTTTTTTCCAAGAAAGCGAGAAAGGAAGCACATCTAGACAAACTGCAATCTCAGAACAATTAACGGAAACAAACTCGAACTGAATATGTGACCGGCCCTCGCGCCGGGTATCCCTTACCGAATGGCTTCTTGTGTCCCCCGAAGCTCCGCCCCTTCCTCCGCTTGGTCCGGGTTGGAGATCACCGCTTCCGGTGCCAGGCCGAGGAAGAGCGGCCGACCGGGATCGGCTGGAAGCTTCCCAAAGCGGTAACCTGCCGAGGGTTAGGCGCGATTTTGGCGGGAAAGAGAGGACGGCCTGCCTTACCGGGTTTCCGTGCGCCGGAGCGAAGCATGAGGCGTTGGGGGCTTAGGAGTAGCCGCGGGCGGGGAAACGGCGCGAAGGCTCGGTCCGCTTTTGCGATCGCTGCCCCTCCGTTGTTATGAATGAAGATGGTTCTTTTTAGTACTGTTGTATCCGCGATGCGTAATAAACTTGGCAGCAGAAAAGCAAGGAAAAACGTCCCTTTTTTGGACAATGATAGGTGTCTGGAAATAAACCCATGTTTGTTTGGCCCATCCTCTGTCTGAGGCAGAACCGTGATCCTTATGTGGTTTGTTTAAGCACAGTGTTTCTCAACCTTGACAATTTTAAGGCATGTGGACTTCAACTCCCAGAATTCCACAGCCAGCATTGCTGGCTGTGGAATTCTGGGAGTTGAAGTCCACATGCCTTAAAATTGTCACGGTTGAGAAACACTGAATTTTTCTTAGCATCTTGTGTCAATCCAGCCCGTTGTTTTATTAGTCAGCATTTCTGGCTTGGCACAAGAGGAGAATCCAGACGAGCTTTTAAAATGTATTAAGGTTAACCAGGCCAGGAATCCGCAAGGGGAAAGAAATTTTTTCCCAGGTAGATATATCATTATTATAAAATGATAAATAATGTTTCTATTATGAAATCTTATATGATGGTGAGATTAGCAAAAAGTACAAATAGGTAAAGTGGCTGCAGTTGCATCAGATTGTAACATTTGACAGATCATCAGCAATCTTGCCTTTCAGAGTGAAGAACAACTTAGTCATATATTTCAGCCATTCTGTAATTGAGACTTTTAAAAAGCTTAATAAGTGTTCAGATTCTGTGGCAGCTCTCTCATCACTCCAAGTACAGATGTGAGATAAAATGCATAGAAAGTGAATTTTCTAGATGGCAAAACCAGGTGTGTTATATGCATATTTCACACTGATGAATGCATTATTCCCTCTGCTGTTGCTGACTATAACTTCCAGATCAGCCTTAACTGAGGCTATCCTAGATTCTGAAATTAACACTGGGTTTCTTAAATTGATACAATCAGAAATTGTATATGAACTGAAGAATTAATTGCTTGCATTCATTTAAGCCAGCGGTTCTCAACCTATGGGTCGCGACCCCATTTGGTTTCGATCAACCATTTCACGGAGGTCGCCAAGCAAGGCTGTCCGCCATTTTTTTCCCTTTTCCGGCAGGTGCCTTACCTCCCTTAAGCTGGGCCAGCTGGTGGTCGGCCTGCTCAGTCTCTGCCACTTGCCAGCTACGCCTCGGCCGGCGCAGGAGGCAGAACCACGCATGCGCGGCACTCCCGGGCAGGGAAAGTCCTCGACTTACGACCGGTTGGGTAGTCCTCGACTTACGACCGGTTTAGTCCTCAACTTCTGACCAGTTTAGTCCTCAACTTACGACCGGTTTAGACCTCGACTTACGACCGGTTGGGGTCGCGGCATTAAAAAGGTTGAGAACCACTGATTTAAGCTGTAAGAAGTAAAGTAATGGAAGAAACTTGCATTTCTTCAAACAAACAACCTGGAATGATTTTACCAGTGTAACTATTTCCACACCCTGTTAAAAACATGTGAGATCTGAAGGCCAAATGCATACTTAAAATTGACATTTTCCTTTCTTTTTAATTAAAGATTCTACTATGGCTGCTACTGTGAATTTGGAACTTGATCCTGTGTTCTTGAAAGCTCTGGGCTTCTTGCATTCAAAGAGCAAAGATTCTGCTGAAAAGTTAAAAGCACTTCTTGATGAATCTTTGTCTAGGGGAATTGATTCATGTTATCGTCCACAACAAAAGGTACTGAAATTGATGAAAATATCTATATATATATATATGTTGTCTCACATGGTATATACTGTAACAATAAATGAGACCCATTTTGATTTAGAAGTTAAAGGTCCCAGACTAGACACAGGAGACTGTTGGTTCTAGTACTACTTTAGACACAAAGCTAGTTAGATGACTTTGAGCCAGTCATGTACTCTCAGCTGTAGGAAGGAGGAAATGGCAAACCATTTTTGAAAATCCTCCCAACAAAACTGCAGAGACTAGTCCAGGAAGTCTCCAGGAATCAATATTGATTCAAAGATGGATGAATAATGTACCCTACCCTATGCCATGTTTTCTTATCTTACCGACTCTATTCAAAATATACTGTATCCATATTAAAGGACCTGGTTTAAGACAAATCATTCTGGGGGAAAACTATGATAGGTCTATTTATTACCTATTTCAGAAGTAGATCTGGTTTACATACTGTATGACACTAGTCCATCAAATGTTTTTTTTTATTTTGATTTGGCAAGTTCTGTGAACCCAGCCATTTTAATTTATTCATAAGAATCTGTGTATTTTATGAGTTTTACTCGTAATATTTACTCCAGTTTTACTCTTAATGTAACATTTTGTGCATTTTTAGGAAGTAGATCAGCCCAAAGTATCCATTCCAAAACCAGTTTCTGTTAAGACCACTCCTAGCCTCCCTACAAGTAGCAATAATGGGAAACCCACTGTAGTTGAAAAGGTGAAAAAAGAAGTGGAAAAGAGAATTGTGGATAAGGTAAGTTTCTTTGTACACTTTGAACATTACACCAATTCCTCATTTAATAACCGAGTTCCAGTTCAGCAATCAGATTGTAAGCAGAATGGTTGCTAAGTAAACATGAGAGAGAGATGCTATAAAAATCACTGGTTGCTGCCTCCTCAATCACGTAAAGCTCTCTCACATAATTATGCCAGCATTACTCTCACTCTGTTGTTAGGCACCCAAAATGAGCTCATTGGCCAGAAAATCAATGTTTTATTACCATTGTATTTGCAAATGGTCACTAAATGCTAAACAAGAAGTGGGTGTATTGGGGAAAGAGGTTCTGATAAAGTTACATATTTTTTTAAAAATTGCTAGCTTTCAATTAGAGGTTTTCAAACACACCAATCATGCACATTTGTGTGCCACAAAAAATCCATAAGAGCACCTCAGTGAGCCAAAATATATAATTGGAAATGCTGTGCACCTAGAATCTTGTTCCATGACATCACTGATGGACTGTCTCTATTTCACAACCTGGAAGTCCCACCTATGAGATACATGCTATGAGATGAAAAAGACTGAAAACTACTGTTTTAAATATATATTTTGTTTTGCAAACTAAGTCTTTGCCAAATGTTACTTAACAAAAGTTAATTTACTTCAGAAGTATAAAATGTGCTTTCTTCTGCCAGTCATTTAATTTTAAAAGGGCGCTCTTCTCTTTTCTACAAGTGTTGCTTTTCAGTGATTAGGAGAACACGTTTCGTTACTCAGACTATGTTTATTTAGTCTTCCCTTGCAATTTCACTTTGCTATTTTAACAGCATACTTTCAGCTTAATACAAGACTAATTAAATTAGTTTGTCTGAGTTGGTAATTCCTTAATTGGTGTATTGTTGGTATTCTAATTTCTGCTTATCTGGGTGTTGCTTGCTGATGAAAAGCTGTTGTGGTCTTTTAGCTTTTTGATTGCCCCTTTTGAATGATGTGTAGATGTTGTTTATCTCTGTGTGCCTGTTGATGGCTGATTTGTCAGAGTGTCAGGCTTCCAGGAATTCTCTAGTGTTTTTACACATAGTGGCTGTTGCAATCCTTACACAGTATATTGTAAATGACTTTTTTTTCCTGGGGCTACTGGGTCTTTTGTTTCAAAAGTATCTATTATTAGCATGCACATGTGTCTTCAGTTTCTTTATCAATGAGAGGAGCGGCATATAAATGTAATAAATAAAAATAAACAATTGTGCTCTTTTTTCCTTTGTTATCAGTAGCTTTTTTAAAGCTTGTGTAGCATATTCTTCCTTCCCCTAAACAGATAATTACTTGGGGCAAATATGTAACAGAATATACTAAATATTTATTTGCTCAGAGTTTACATTTTGTTTGTTGTGTGAATATCTGTTAGATAAAAGTGGAAATCAGTGAAGGAATTGACATTGCAAAAAAGCCAAGACTAGAAAAGCCAGAAGCTCATGCTTCATCAATCACAGTGCAGTCAAGCAAGGATTTGGCCATGGCAGACCTTTCCAGTTTTGAAGAAACTAGTGCTGATGATTTTGCAATGGAGATGGGTCTAGCTTGTGTCGTTTGCAGGTAAGTTTTTTGATTTAATGTTTATAGCATATATGAAGACCTCAGTTAAATATTTTGATATTACTTGTAAATGGAATCTTTTGTCTAAATAGAGATCTTGACTCCTTAAATAATTCTCATACATTGTGAGATCTAAATACTTTTGATTTCTCAGACATCATGGGTATCTAAAGCATATCTGTTAGAAGATGTTACATTCCATGGCAGTGAGATTATAAATACAAAATTCATAGAATCATCATTGGATGGAACCATATAAGGCCACTGAGTCCAAATCCTAGGGAGGCACAGGAATCCAAATTAAAGCATTCCTCACATCCATCATCTAGTACAGTGGTGGCGAACCTATGGCACGCGTGCCAGAGGCGGCACTCGGAGCCCTCTCTGTGGGCACGCGCGCTGTTGACCCAGTCCTAGGCCTTCAGCTGGGTTTTATAAAACCTTTTCGCTTTAGGCCTCCGTCGCCATGTACAAAAAAAAAAGTTTCAATCAATCAGTCAATTTCAACTTGTCGAGGGAAAAAAAAAGATCTTGCAAAGTTGGAATTGATTGATTGAACTTTTTAGTCCCACCCAGTCTGCCGTTACCACTGCAGCCACGCCCACCCAATGGGCCACACCCACCCAATGGGCCACACCCACCCAATTGGCCACGCCCACCCGGCGCCTGACGATACATAAGTGGGTTTTGGGTTGCAGTTTGGGCACTCGGT